AGATCCAACCCTGCAATTATCCATCTCACAACCCAGTTAATGAATCATTGATGTGGATCCTCACAATGTCATTTAGCAAAATCACTGTTTACTGTGAGAATCTAAGTAATATAATTAAATTCCACCTTTTTTGTATCAGATATTTTTATATCGTAGTGTGAATAAATAACACTGTTTGAACACCCATATAAATGCAATCTGTAGTTGTTTGTATTTCCATGAACTTGACTGGCAGTAACAAACACAAAACATCCCTATAAAAATTATTGAGATTTTTATCATACTTGAAATGGCATTATTTTTATTTTATTTTTTAATTTGGACATATTATGTTACAGCATGCCAAGTTTTCATATTATTTTTATATTATTAACATACTGTCTCAGTATTATAATTTTAATCTAGTGCCTGTCTTCTGCATTTGTTTCCATTGTTCCTACAGATAGCCCAAGTGGGTTCCAGCTGTCTGAAAATGGTCCTGTATCACCTGTTAAAACAGAATCCAATGGTCCTGGAAGCAGTGGTAGTGGGCGACGGGCACGAGAAGGAAGTGGCGGAGAGGGGGCATCTCGCTCCAGCAGAGGGCGTGGCCGTCGTCAGAACAATCCTTCACCCAGCAGCCCTGAGAGTAACCTGGAGCGAGTATTTATATGGGATCTGGATGAGACAATTATCATCTTCCACTCTCTACTCACAGGGACCTTTGCTACACGTTACGGCAAGGTGTGTTAACTTCACAGTAAATTCTTGTTTCAGTATTATTATTTTGAGTAAACATAACGAACTCTTCACCAGAAACTATTGGGATGAACAACTAAAGGAGGGTGATACATGAGACATACGGCACACATGGGTGATATGAGATATGTGTACAAAATTTTGCTTGGAAGGTCTGACAAGAAGAGACCATTCAGAACTTCTAGGTTTAAATGGGAGAATAATATTAAAATGTGTCTTGGGAAAATAGAATTAGATTCATTTGGCTGAGGATAAGGAATGGTGAATAAACTAGAATTATATTAGTACTTATAAGATGTTGTTCTTCCCTGTTTAGGATGCCCACTCTGTGGTTCAGCTGGGTTTCAGGATGGAGGAGATGGTTTTCAATCTTGCTGATACACATTTCTTCTTCAACGATGTTGAGGTATGTAACACATCATGGATCCACAGTTCCAATACACTGTTTGCTGTCCCGACCATCCCGTTATGCTGATTGGCAAACTGTTACAAACTTGGTGCATATTTAGTTTGGGTTTATATTTCATTGAACATTTTTACTTTCAATTTGTATACATGAAAATACCCATCATCATGTAAATTTGATGTTTCAAAATAATTTTGTTCAAAACTGGAAATTTGATACTACCAGTTGATATCAAACCTCACATTTGAAATCTGTAATAGGAGTTTTATGCTTTTTTTAACAGATTTGATTAAATTTAATACTGGTACTGCATAATAAAATCAGAATTCAGAATAATACTTTCAGAAACATTTCCATATGTTATATCTTCCAGTTAAAGTAAAATGAATTTGGAAGAATGAAAGAAAGATTTTTGTAGATTTTTGAGGTTGTTTGAGATAATTATCATCACTGTTGAAACTAATAAGCCTAAATATTTAAGAAATCGTTTTAAGTAATTGCATGAAATTTTCAGGTTACATTTAATACTGCCTTAGTGTATATCCTTTAAATGTGTTCACTTCCACATAAACATTTTCCTTTTCCACACACTTCAAAATGGCTGTCTTTATAGGCATGAGGCAACCACATGTTTACAAAGATTGGTTCAAGAAACTTTTCTTAATTGTGTAGAATGGTCTGAAAGTTTCATACCAGTTTGTTTACCTTTAAAAAAAGCATAATTTTCAAAATGTCTTAAAAATTTAGCTAGTCCAGAGCATGGAATTTAGCGTTGTTGCACATGATACTAGATGCATTTAACTGATTTAGCATGAGTCATGAGATGTGCTGACGTATTCCAGGAGTGTGACCAAGTGCACATCGATGATGTTGCATCAGATGATAATGGCCAGGACCTCAGTTCATACAATTTTGGGTCTGATGGTTTCCATGCAGCTGCTAGTAACGGTAATCTGTGTCTGGCTACTGGAGTTCGAGGAGGTGTCGACTGGATGCGGAAACTCGCCTTCCGTTATCGGAAGATCAAGGACATGTACAATAATTATAGGAATAGTGTTGGGGGTAGGTACACACAAGCCCATGTGTCATTTATATTCCATTAGCATTGATTTTTTAGCTATGTTGTCACTGCTTTTAGTTTGTTAATCATGGTCAATGTTAAGTTTTGCAACTTTTTGCCTTACAAAATTCTGGATCTAAGAGATTTCTACAGAAGTCCATGACTTTAATTTTATTTACATCATATCTAGAATGTACCATTTATATTCAATTATCTATGTTATCGGAAAGGAGGGGAAGTATAAATACTCTACAGACATGGATGATCCAAAATTATCGTATTTTCTACTTTCACAATGCATCAAGAAGTATGTGCACTAATGTCATCATAAGATCTTGCTTTATGAATGATATCAAGCTTGGTTTGTGATGAGGGGCAAGTGTTTTATCCAGAGACCACCGAGTTTTACGCAGTGTTAAACGTGTCGAACTGCAGCTGGACTCGGAATATCAAGAAATGCTCCTGTGTATACCATAATGAATTAGACTAAAGTTAGCCATCTGTTGCTCAATCATATGTATGGCTCATAAGTTTCTTTTAATAATAATAGATGTGTATCTCTGTCAGGACTTCTAGGTGCAAAACGGGAGCAATGGCTTCAGTTGCGCTCAGAGATTGAGGCTGTGACAGACAATTGGCTCACGCTTGCCATCAAGTGCTTAACACTTATCAACTCCAGGTGAGCACAGTAGAATGTAATACAATGTAACTCCTAGTAATGTGTGTACTGTTGTAACTATTTCCCAAATGTAAAACCACTTTAATCATTGCAAATGTTTAATAATACACTGATTATTTTGCTCTTTGCAGGTCAAACTGTGTGAATGTTCTGGTGACAACTACACAACTGGTTCCTGCACTAGCAAAGATTCTACTCTTTGGACTAGGAGGAATTTTCCCCATCGAGAACATTTACTCTGCTACAAAGATTGGTAAGTAATTACCTCAAACCTTGGATCTTACTCCAGTGACAGTTACTTTCCAATATTATGACAGTTTATTGGTTTCACTTCCCAGCATCACCACTTCAGACCTGTAGGTGAATGTAATATGTTCTCCAAAACGCTGAATAAAATTGGGTTCATTTGTTATAGATTTATCCAGTAATTGCTGCTTATTCTTTAACTAATATGAGTTTGTGTTATAGGTAAGGAGAGTTGTTTTGAGCGCATTGTATCAAGATTTGGGCGCAAATGCACATATATAGTGGTTGGAGATGGGCAGGATGAGGAAGCAGCAGCCAAGCAGGTAATGTGCCACATTCACGTTACTCGACTTACATTCGTCACTGTTACTATTAACAGTTCTCTGGTTTGAAGATTTCTGTCTTCTGGGTTGTTGCTCTGTGTAGTCTGGTTGATGTTAACCAGACTACACAGCGCAACAACCCAGAAGACAGAAATCTGCATACTCACCGCTGTGAAAACCTCAAATCTTACAATTCTCTGGTTTATTCAGGTTGATTCATAATTAATTAACAGATGTTGCTCCCAGCCAGTACCTCCATACTTTATCACATGACACCTGTTTCGTTTGCAGCTCAACTTTCCATTCTGGCGAATATCAAGTCATAGCGACACGGCCGCCCTTTATAATGCTCTTGAGATGGACTTCTTATGATGTGGAATATTGTGTGAGGTGAGAATATTATCTGAAAATAAACTGTGATCCAAGTCAGGTGTGCGTGCGTGTGTGTATGTGTGCAGTTCAAGGAAGCAGATTGCTGACTGATAAACACCGAGTGTAAAGTGTTCAAATAAATTATGATACGGGGAGTGGGTGTGGAAACCACTTTTACTTGCAAAGATAGAAGATTGCTGCAGTATTCGATCACTTACTAGCAGGTTTTGATGTTTTACATTTCTGATAACATGTTTTTTCTGAAAGAAGAATGATGCAAGTCCAATTGATCTGTAGTACATTTGAAAATATTTCATACAAATTTCCTGGCTCTTTCAGCTGTTATTTAAATATGATTTTATTTGGTATAAAAATTGTCTGAAGGTAAGTCATCTACACACCTTTGCACATTATTGAAATCATTATTCTTGATATCAAAATACTGAAGCAATGATTAAAGAATATTAATTTCACATTAAAACAGTCCACAAAATTGACAAAAAAGAAGCAAATATTTCTGTAAGGATTTAAAAACATATACCAGGGTCAGTACCAAGTTCCGTGAAAGGTTTGCTGCAGTAGTTGATTCATTGCACCAAAAATTATATTCAACATTGTTTAATATCTGAAATATATTTGAGGTACAGAATATTTTAGGAGTAAAGGAAACTCTTGAAATGTCTTGAAATATGCTTCAGACAGGAGACAATGACCAACATTCTTCTTCTTCTTCTATGGCTCTCCAGTCCGTATTCGGTCCATGGCCTCCTCTCCTCTTCAATTCGGTACACTCTTAGGTCCGTCTGTCTGAGGCTTTGATTGAGGTTTCGAAACATCTTCCTTTTCACGGTGCAAGGTTGTTAGCCTTGCGACCAACCCCCCAACCTGGAGGACCAGGGTACCAGGGTACCTGTCTTAGTCTGACCTCTCCCCCTCGACCAATCTGGCTAGGAAGGCCCTACCAGTAGCTATGCTACCGCCAGCATAGCTCTTGGGGTCACTGAGGTACTCAAGCACCACCACCACGACAAGGTGCAGGTACCATTAAGTGGGAATGACCAACATTACTGCAGTTTAATCAACATAACATAACCTATGTGGAAAGGCGAATAGTGGAGAAAATGGGCCATTTCTTAAAAACAAACCTATAAATCACTGCCTAAATTGGAATAACTCTTGCCATTTTAGGAATTGTCTACATTGCACTGATCCAAAATAACAGCTTCATGACTAACATAATGCAGTCTTTGAAGCTAAAACCTTATTTATGGGACATTCAGTCTAAAATGAGATCTGTAATACTTATGGTGTGCACTACTCTGTGGTGTGTTTCCAGACATAATCTTGTTCTGCATCTTTCAAAAATTTCTATGAACATAAACTCTGACTGTATAATGCGATCATTTCTTCGATGTGACATTTCATGTTGGTTTAAAATCCTATGTTCTATCTTCTATTTTTTGTACTTTTTATAATTCTGTTGTTATACTGTGTCTATTTGCCCCATTTATTGCAAGAATATTGAGTGAAAATGTGTGGACAACGAAGAGGAAGAATTTGATCTCACATTGTTACAAAATTAACTGATACCAAACCTTTGAAGGTTTTACATGGTGATACAAAGTCAGTAGACAAGGGCATTGGCTTCATGAAATGCAGGAAGTAGTAGCGAGGGTGTTGGAACTAGGGCAAGGAATGTGGCCACACTCCATCAGTGTTTCTTCACACCGTATCATGGGTGATGGATGACATCAGCAAGCACTCAAGGGAATAACAAATTCAACAGCTGTATTATTATAAATTAACAGTCATATGCAAGGTAACTGTTGCAGTGATAATCCAAGGTCATACTCCAACAATATGCTGAAAGAGTGCCAGATGGACATGTTCAGGCCCATAAGGTGTTCTTTGCTCAAGGTAAAAAATGGATATCAATTCATTCTTGAGTATCAGAAAATATCCCCTTTGCTATAGTATTGGTAGCTTACAAGCTTACTACATTGCTTGCTGTGAGGATCAAACCTGAAGACTTTGGGAAGGAGGGGCAAAACATTGCTGGGGTGCTATACTAGTGCAGTAAACAGTGCTTTTGCTGGTAGTCACTTGGCTACTGCTCTACATATCAAACTTTGAAACATTTTCATTAAATTTCTAAATTAATGCTAATTTAACCATGGGCAAGAGTAATGTTCCTAGAACCTGTGTCGCAGTGTGTTTGTTCAAATGCGTGGGACTTTCTTTCAGAGAGTACTGGTGTTGATCCTCTGTCACATTTGAGTGCAGATTATTCTTGTTACAGACCTAAGTGTTCATATCTGTCTTAAGATTAAAAACAACCTTTGGGGAAGTGGAATATACCTTTATGAAATTTGAGGTTTTCATAGAGGCCGTAATGTTCGTGCTGGTCTTCTGAGTTTTAATGCCGAGTAGACATTTGGAAATGGAGATGCCTGGTAGATATTCTTCTGAAACAATGGTATAATGGTGTCTACCCAGATGTCCACATGATCTTACAACCCAGAAGACCAACTCTGAAGTATACCTGCCCATGTTAAATCGTAGGTCCCATCTGCAGGCCATCATCGATTGTGATTATCTGACCATCAGTAGTAATTAGTCTTCTTTATGAGTGCTCCCACCCAGAAATGGATTCCAGATTTGCTTTTAGTTTGGCAGAAGCCAGTAAAGGCAATAACAGACCATCCTCTGGGTGCCTCAGAAACCCACCCACTACCCTTTGTTAATTTATACATCATAAATCCTTAAATACTGTTTTCAGTAATGGAGGAGCCTCTTACAAAACACATATATTTTGTTTGTCTTTTCCCCAGATCATTATGTACCAGTTTATATATTGTTGCTTGCCATATATATGAAGTATCAGTGCACGTAAGTCCCTCATTTCTATGTAATGGGAACAGTAGAAGTAATCACTACATCTGACCACAAGTGACATTTGTTGTTTGAATGCAATGGGCTTTTATATTCCTTCTTTATTATAAATGCTAAAGATTCTGTTATGTGTAAGGAATTTAAAATCGCAGCTAAAGACTTTGGTTTGCAGTAGTTGAATACTTTTATGGTTCCTTTGGCTCTCATTTGATTGCAATGATTGGATTACAAGTAAACCTTCGGATAAATCTTAATAGCCAGTTGTCAAAACAGACTACTCTCAGGCCTGTGATTAAAATATAACTCTTAATATTTGTTTGATAATTCTGATGGTTACTCTTATACTTTAAATAAACATCTGCATTGTGAATGAAGATTACAGAAGATGTGAAGATGCTAGTGTTTTAGGGTACAAGTGATGGAGTGAGCTGACAAAAAAGAATGCTTAAAACTCTTTTCCTATTAAGTGACTTGCCTAGCACAGCCATTAAAATAAGATATGAGAAAATGGCATAAAAGTGAAAATGTTGAAAAAACACGTAAAACTTGTAAATTGTAATCTGTACTTTTCTCTTGATTTTCTCTTACAAACCTAAGGTAAATAATAAATACTGTGTATATTAGTCATAGATGGAACAAAGAAAAAAAAAAGATTTTTAATTATTGTAGGTACATATCATCGAATTATTTAGTAGCATATACATTACATTCATTAATATAATTTTTTCTCCCTTCAACCAAATGTATTTGAAAGAATTTGTATAATGTTATATGAGCCAAAGGATTTGCTTTGTAAAATAAGTATGAGGATGCAGTAACACTGGAAGTTATGTTTGGTAGAACATCTTGGAAGCAATGTTTCCTGTAACTTGAAAGTGTTAAACTAATTGTTATATGCAGTGAAAATTTGTGTTAAAATACAGATGCGATGTGTGCCCAATAAAGGGAGTTAAACATCTCATTGCAGAGGATAAACTTCTGCTTAACCCTTATGCTACAATATTAAACTTTAGTCCTGTTCCCTTTAACTACATTATACTGCAAAATTTGACATTAGTCTACATCAATGAATTATCTTCTTTCAACTGTCACTTAATATTACATTCAGAGCTGTGAAAATGCTTTCTTACTGATGTGGATAGTGCTATCATTTAATTTGAAGATTATGCAAATGCTCTACATAGATCTTTGATGGAACTAATGTGTTTATCACCTTATCTATGAAGTATATTTAAAATTAGTTGATTGTTGCTTGAGATATTAAATTTTAAGATAAATACATTTCCTCTATTATAGTGTTCTGAGCAGAGTGTGGGAAAGTTTGTCTACATATTTTGTTATACTGAAGGTAACTTTTATTTGGGGGACATTATTGAACTGCACACAGCAAACAGGATCCATTGCTTCTATGGAATGTTGGTTAATATTTTTCATAACCTTTACATGTATTTTCCTTTCATCATAGCATAGTATCAAGAAGTTACAGAATGAAAAAAAAGCTTTGTCAGTTCTAAAATCAGGAT